TACAATTTCCCATACGAGCCATGAGAAAACTACAGTCCTCAGCTACATTCAGCACAGGGGAGAACAGGGGATGAAGACTAATGGCTTGGACCGAAAGCAGGGAATCTGTTTCAACAATGTGTACCCATAGCCCCGATTCTGCTGCGAATTCCAGCCCCTCTCTAATGGCCAAAATTTTAGCTGTGAGTGGAGAGTAATTTCCTTTAACCACTTTGCCCAGCAATCCCATTACCTCCCCACGATGATTGCGAATTACAGCCCCAATGGCAATCTCTATTTCCTCGATGTTTACAGTTGCATCAGTATTGAGGATCAATTCATCATTAGGTGGTGCTTTCCAAAATCTTCTACGAGATATTCCAGGCTGATTTGCAGAGACCCGACACGACACCTTAAGAGAAAGCTGTGTGGATTGAAAGTCTGCCAAAAATTCTTCCATTTTTACACATTGATGTTGCACTGGAGGGATGTTTCTACCGTGATGCAAAACATTCCGGTCACTCCAAATCTGCCATACCGTCATACACAGTTTCTCAAATTCGTTAATTTTCAGCTTATGATATGCAAACAGTGTAAAATCCGAAAATTCAGACCCTTTGAAATCAGAGATCAATTTTCCCAGGCCAGCTTGGTTCCACACGACATAGGCTCGGTCATATCGAATTAAAGCATGAACAGTAGTTTCATAATCCAGATGACATAAATCACATACTGGGGAAATAGGCACATGGCGACGTGTTAAGTTGGATAAGGTGGGGATAATATCATTGAAAGCTCGGTACATGAACGCTCTGACTTTTGNCTCTGACTTTTGGCGGGATATTCAAGGCCCATAAAAATTTCCACCATTTAGCATTAGAGTTGTAGCTACTACTTGCCTCCGATCCAAGGGTCTTAATTGTATATACCAGCCAGTAACCCAATTTGACACGATATTCGCCATCTTCGGAGTGTCTCCAAATCAAACGGTCAGGGGTTAGGAATTTTCCAAGGGGGATGCTTCGGATAGCCTCCCTGTCTACCGGGTTGAAACATTCTTCTAATAGACTTGGGTTCCACGCTCTATCAGTTATAAAGTCAGAGACCATATGGATCTGTGGCACTGCTTGGGACATAGACTTGAAGGATATTTCCTTAGGGATCTACGGGTCATGGAACACAGAGATTGACCTCCCATTGCCTACTCTCCAGATAATTCCCTTCAAAAGAAGTTCGCGACCCCACATAAAACTTGTTCATAGGAATGACCGGTGTCTTCGAACATGATCTGATAATAGGTGGTAATAATAGTAGTATTTACATTTAATGACGTGGCTCACCAATGAGTTCGGGTTCTGAAGAATACGCCAGACTTGTTTTGCCAAAAGAGCTTGGTTAAAACTTTCCATGTCTCTGAAGCTCATCCCACCATCCGCTTTATTTTTGCATACATGAGATCATTTATGCCAATGTAGTCTTCGTTTCGTATCTGAACCACCCCCACCAAAATGACGCCATCAATTTCTGGACCCTACCTAAACAAGTTGCTGGAACTCTAAATATACCCATAACATAGGTTGGGATAGCTTGGATCACCGCTTTAAGGGATACTTCCCTTCCGTTGTAGGAGAACTGGTTATGCTTCCAAGCTTGCACTTTCTTCCACACTCTATCTTTTAGGAATTGGAAGATTTCAGCTTTTCGTCTTCCAATAGGTGATGGTAACCCCAGGTACTTGTCATGTGATCTAGCTGTGTCCAGTCGAAAAAGCTCAAGAGTACTACACTTTTAAATTTCGGGAACATTTGGGCTGAAGGTGATATCTGACTTCAACAGATTAATTTTTTGTCCCGAGGCCTTTTCATATGAATGTAGCAAGTTCAGAATGTGCTGATTATCATGAATGTTGGCTCTTTAACAAACCAAAGAGTCATCAGAAAAAAAATAAGTAGCTAATTCAGGGACCATATATTGAGAATGCGACACCTTTAATATCACCCATAAGAGCTGCTTTGGAGATTAAGCAGGATAGCCCTTTAGCACAAAGCACGAATAGATAGGGAGATAGAGGGCACCCCTGTCTCAATCCCCTGATTGGGCGCACAAATCCCATGGGTTCTCCATTAATCAAGAAGGAGAAAGTAGCAGACGAAACACATCTCATGATCAGTCCCACCCATTCTTCATTAAAGCCCATTTTATGCATTATGGCGGAGAGAAAACCCCACTCGACACGATCATAAGCTTTTGACATATCCAATTTCATCACCATCATTCCATTACGCCCCTTAGTTTTGTGAGAAATGGAATGCATAGTTTCGAAACCAACAATCACATTATCAGTAATGAGTCTACCCGGAACAAAAGCACTCTGATTTTTAGAAATCACATCTCCTAAAATGATCTTCAAGCGATTCGCAATGGTTTTTGTAATGACTTTATATATCACATTACATAGGCTAATGGGCCTGAACTCTAGTATATTGGTCGGATTTTGAATTTTCGAAATAAGAACTACGTTCGTATGATTCAGCTTTTCTACCGATTCTCTACCATTCAACACCGCCAGACAGACCTTCACCACATCCTTACCCACCACCTCCCATGACTTCTAATAGAATATTACGTGAAACCCATCAGGCCCTGGTGCCTTGTAAGAACCCGTCATAAATAGTGCATCTCGCACCTCTTTGACAGTAAAAGGGTCCCTAAATACTCTATTCATATGATCAGAGACTACTGGGTTCACTGCCTGGGTAATAGTCTCGATGTCTTCGGGGGATGGTTGGGAAGATTGGAACAAAGTGTTAAAGTAGTTCGTCACCAAATCTCCAATGCCCTCACAATCAGTTCTCTAGGTGCCATTCACATCAAATAACCCAAGCATGGTGTTATTAACCTTCTGAGCTGATGCTTTACTGTGGAAGAATTAGAATTGCGATCGCTGATAAGTGTGTTTTTGCACACTTATTTAATACTTAAATATACTTATTGTTGATAAAAATGAGCGAATTTCTACTCACAATTATGTAATTATTGCATTTGTAGGTAAAAAATCACCAAAATGAAAGAAAACAAGGCAAAAGAATAAAAAAAAAAGGACCAAAAACGTAC